CACACTAACGTTAACCACTTTTACACAAACGTTAAAGAAACAGTGAAAAACACAGTAAATAAAGAGAGATTTTCATTCGCTCAGCCTGGCACATTTACTAACCTACAATACACGCTTCAAGACTTTGGTTATTCAACTGTACTAAGACGTTATAATATGTAGTAAGACAACAGAATGTATGAATACATTATAATATACACTAATACATTATACCCTAATACATTATAACATACCCTAATACATTATAACATACCCTAATACATTATAACATACCCTAATACATTATAACATACCCTAATACATTATAACATACCCTAATACATTATAACATACCCTAATACATTATAACATACCCTAATACATTATAACATACCCTATACATTATAACATACCTTAATACATTATAATATACCCTAATACATTATAACATACCCTAATACATTATAACATACCCTAATACATTATAACATACCCTAATACATTTAAATAAAATTCTCAATACATTATAACATACCCAATACATTATAACATACCCTAATACATTATAACATACCCTAATACATTATAATATTCCCTAATACATTATAATGTGTATTATCAGTTTATTTGTCCATTAAAGCTATTGTCACTTTTCCTCTTCCACCTCTTCCTTTCCTCCCTCTTCTTCTCCTACCACCTCTTCTACCACCTCCTCCTCCTCTTCTTTCTCCTCCCCTCCCCCCAAGACAGTCATTCTTAAGTCTAACTGTATATATCTTCAGGCAGACCAGTTTCCCATCAACTTCTGGCGTGGCTAACTGGCAGTGAACCAGTTATCCCGAGAAGCAACTGGAACACGTGGCTCCCTCATCCCACTCTCTCTCTCTCTCTCTCTCTCTCTCTCTCTCTCTCTCTCTAGTGGTGACCCCCCCCAAACAGACCAGCACAGTTATACATACACACACTCATTCATACACATAAGTCACTCAATACTTACACATTACCTTACTTCAACACACACAGACACAAATTCTCGTGTCTTGCCCTAGTAGCCTAACCTTCAGAGGTGTTAAATAACTTACGTGTGTTTTAACATTTGGGTTTATTTGTTTTAACCTTTGTACAAATTTAATCTCTTTTAGTCTATAGTTGGGTGACTTGATGATTAGTCCCCCCAGCTTATTTCACCTAAAGGTTAGTCCCAGCTTTTTTACCTGAAGATTAGTCCCCCGATTATTTCACCTAAAGATTAGTCCCCAGCTTATTTTACCTGAAGATTAGTCCCCAGCTTATTTCACCTGAAGATTAGCTCAACTGACGGTAACCTAACCTAACCTAACCTAGAAGACCTCAATCTAAAAGCAATTCTCGATATAAGGAACCAAAACACCCTAACAACTACCACCTCAATAAGCGAACAAAACACCCCAACCCCAATATAACGAACCAAAACAACCCCAACCCCAATATAACCAAAACAACCCAACCCAATATAACGAACCAAACACCCTACACCCCAATATAACGAACCAAAACAACCCCACCTCCATATAACGAACCAAACAACCTAACAACTACCACCTCAATACAGCGAACCAAAACACCTCAACCCAAATATAACGTAGAAAACCAAAACAACCCCAACCCCATATAACGAACCAAAACAACCCCCAACAATTCAATATAGAATGAACCAAAAACACACCCCACCCCAATATAACGAACCAAAACAACCCCACCTCCATATAACGAACCGTACCAATTTCAACAACTACCACCTCAATACAAAGGAAACCAAAAACACCCCAACCCAAATATTATAACGAACCAAAACAACCTCTAACCCCTAATATTATAACGAACCAAAACAACCCCCCAACCCCAATATAACGAACCAAAACAACCCCCAACCCCAATATAACGAACCAAACCACCCCCAACCTCCATATAACGAACTAAAAACACCCTCACTCTGTCCTCTCCTGCTTAAAAACCAAACACATCCATTAAAAAAACACGTACCCCACGATTGAACGATTATCCACACTCCTTATCAAATAGCTAGAAATAATTAAACCCTAGCTACCCCCTCCCCCACCAATTTAATTCACATGCATGTCAGCGCCCCTGATGAACCGTAGAGGTGATTGTGACATTGTAAAGAACTGCACACACTCATAAGCTGCCCCGTGGTATCTTGCCTACACGAACTTGTTTTTAATTACACATCCGTTGATCCCTGATAAAGGTGAGATGAAAAAGACTCCTAAAAAACACAGGTGTTCTTTCGTTTTCATTGTTGATTTTCTTAATTTTGTTTTTTTTTGCTTTTTCTTCCATTTCTCCTCTTTTCTTTCTTCTTCTCTCCCTCTTCTTGTTGTTGTTCTTCGTCATCATCTTACCCTCCTCTTTCTTCTTGTTCTCTACCCTCGCATCATTTTTTCCTTCCTCCCTTCTTATTCTTATCTCCCTTATTTCTTCTTCTTCTTCTCTAACTGACTGACTGACTAACTGACTGACTGACTGACTGACTGACTGACTAACTGACTGACTGACTGACTGACTGACTGACTGACTGACTGGTACATAGGAAGGTTTTCAGTTTTTATTTGTAGCTGTGATTTCGCCGTAGACTGATGCAACCACACACACACACACACACACACACACACACACACACACACACACACACCTGTACACAAAACAGAATAAAGAGATAAGACAACACAAAGAAAAAGAGGCAGAAGAAGGAGTAGAGGAGGAAGAAGAGGAGGAGAAGGAGAGGAGGAAGAAGAGGAGGAGAAGGAGAGGAGGAAGAAGAGGAGGAGGATGACCACAGCTTCCTCCTCCTCACTGACCACCTCACAGCTGTAATAATCAATTCAACACAAATAAACACACACACACACACACACACACACACACACACACACACACACACACACACACACACACACACACACACACACACACACACACACACACACACCTCTGATAACAGTCCATAACTGGTGTTGGAGCGTGGTGGGAACTGCACCCTGTTGAGGCACTCCCGCAAAGCACCAGTCAAGAGGAGGGTGGTGGGTGTAGAGAGGGTATAGAGAGGAGCAGTGGAGGAGGGAGGGTGTAGAGAGGGGTGGTGGTGTGGGAAAGGAGGTGTAGAGGGTGGTGGGTGTGGGGAAGGGGTGTAAAGGAGTGGTGGTGTGTGGGGGGTGTGGGGAGTGGTGGTGTGGGTATAAGGAGGGTGTGCGTGTGTGTGTGTGTGTGGTGGGGGTGTGGCAACTGCACCAGGGGTGATAGTGCTGCTTATGTCCTGCCTGCGTCTGATACCCCCCTCTCATCTCCCTCCCCCCCCTATCTCTCTCTCCTCCCCCCACACAGACACAGACAAAAACAGCCACACATACTTCTCAAATCTTGCTCTTTTCTTCACAGAGACATACACACACACACACACACACACACACACACACACACACACACACACACACGACTCGCTTCCTTCACTAGCTGGTAAATACAATCTCCTTAGAAATTAATATAAATCAAATAATCAACTAAAGTCCTTTTCTGATCTAAAACGTAAAGGTGGAGAAAAGGTTAATAAGTGTTTTAGTAACAACCAGGTAAGAGGTTTGTAATTCAGGTGATGTCCAGGTGTTAATTAATATATATTCTTGAGGTAAATATATAGTCTCAGGTGTGTTAATGTTGTTGTTGTTATTGTAGTTGTTGTTCTTGCTGCATTTGTTATTCTTGTTATTTTTGTTCTTGTATTTGTTGTTATTGTTGTTGTTATTGTTATTATTACTATTACCATTATTATTACTGTTGTTGTTGTTAATATTATTGTTGCTGTTGTTCAATCTGTATAATTCTGAGCTAAAAATAAACTTTGTATTCCTCCGGCTAAATAAACTCTTTCCACTGCAATTTCTTCTCCAACACACAACAAGCCTTTGGTATTTCACTCTGTCAGGTTATACGAGTCACTGAAGGTATTTAAGCAACAGCCAGCATACAACACTTGACCACAACATGCCACAACATACCACAACATACCACAGCATACCACAAACATTCTCCAGGAAAGATGACTTCATGATATTTCGACCATCAAGAGCATTAAACACACTAAGAACATCTTGTAATACCTAACAACACCTCATAACACTTTACAACACCTCATAACGCTTTACAACACCTCATAACGCTTTACAACACCTCATAACGCTTTACAACACCTCATAACGCTTTACAACACCTCATAACACTTTACAACACCTCAACGCTTTACAACACCTCAAAACGCTTTACAACACCTCATAACACTTTACAACACCTCATAACGCTTTACAACACCTCATAACACTTTTACAACACCTCAACGCTTTTTACAACACCTCTCAAAACGCTTTTACAACACCTCATAACGCTTACAACACCTCATAACACTTTACAATACCTCATAACGCTTTTACAACACCTCATAACGCTTTTTACAACACTTATAAATGTTTTACAACACCTCATAACACTTTACAACACCTCATAACGCTTTTACACTACCCCATAACGCTTTGGCTACAACACCTCATAACACTTTCTTACAACACCTCATAACGCTTACAACACCTCATAACGCTACAACACCTCAGTAACGCTTTTACAACACCTCATAACACTTATAAACACCTCATAACGCTTTTTATAAACACCTCATAACGCTTTACAACACCTCATAACGCTTTACAACACCTCATAACGCTTTACAACACCTCATAATGCTTTACAACACCTCATAACGCTTTACAACACCTCATAACGCTTTACAACACCTCATAACGCTTTACAACACCTCATAACGCTACAACACTTCATAATGCTTTACACCACCACATAACGCTTTACACCTCATAATGCTTTACAACACCTCATAACGCTCAACACCACCACATAACACCCACCACAGTCAGTCATACAGTCACCATTTAACGAACACGAATTAATCTTACCTGTTAGAGACTGGAGACTGGCAGGCAGTACACGTCCCACACACACACACACGTCTTGGACAGGTTCTCGACAAGATCAAGACACGTCAGGGTACAGTACCACACTTGTCACTACTATACCACGGCCACTTAACGCGACTTACTCTTGGTAGAAACACTTAACGCAACTTTAAACAGTCTCTTCACAAGATCTCAAGTGTCAACACGATTCAACATCCAACTTTAAACACTTTAGTTCACTTTCCAACATTTTCAGCTCAGTTTCCAACACTTTAAGTTCACTGTCCTGCACTTTAAACTCAATTTCCTGCACTCTAAGTTCAGTTTCCAACACATTAAGTTCAGTTTCCAACACTTTAACTTCAGTTTCCAACACTTTCAGCTCAGTTTCTAACTCTTTATGCTCTCTATCTAGCACTTTAAATTCATTTAGGAACACTTCAGCCAGTTTCCAACACTTCAAGTTCACTTTACAACACTTTAGTATAGTTCCAACACTTCCAGTCACTTTTCAACAATTTAAATAACTGTCCACAACATCAAGTTCAATTTCCAACACTTACGTTCAGTTTCCAGCACTTGAGAAAACACTACGTCAAACTTCACACAACTTCATCAAGACTCACAGTAATACGAACACAAACTTCAGTCCGACTTCCCGTCCGCTTACAACACAACCTGGAAATAAGAGGAGAGTAATGAGGGTACAGTCTAGTGGTGGGTACAGGAAATACAGTCTGATTATGTAACGGGATTTATTAGAGAGAGAGAGACGAGTTCTAATCCTCTTGGGGTGAATCTAATCCAATTATACTAGACTATTATACCTGACCACATTTATACACGATTCTGGCTATGTCAAAACACACACACCTACTACTCTACCCCCTCCCCCCCCTCTCTCTCTCTCCTCATTCTCCTTCTTCCCCTCTCTGTTCTCCTTCTTCCCCTCTCCCACCTTCCAATTAACCCACCTCCTCCTTCTTAACCCACCTCCTCCTTCTTCTTCCCCTTTCTCACCTCCTCCTTCTTCCCCTCTCCCACTTCCTTCTTCTTCCCCTCTCCCATATCTTCCCCATCTTACTTCCTCCTCCCCTCCCCCTCACACTCCCCCTTTCCCTCCTCCTTCTTCTCCTATCCCTCATCCCCCACCTCTTCCCCTCACCCACCCCCCAACCTCAATAATAACCCACCCACAACCTAACCTAGCCTACCCACAGCCTAACCTAAACCAAACAGATCGAATCCAATCTTCAGCCTCAACCCCCCCCAACTAATTAGATTCCATAAGCTTTACAAGACAAGAGAATCCAAGCAGCATCTTTTCAATCACTCATGAACACATATATATAAAAACTTTTTTAAAAGCAGATCAGGAATCTCCTTTTGGTGCATCTTCTGAGTTACACAGGGGTGGTTTGGCCTGAAGAACCCTCTCTCCCTTCCTCCCCTCCCCTCTCCTCTTCCCTCCACCCTCCGTCTCTCTTCCCCCACCCCCCCTCTCCACCTTCTCCTCTTCCCCCACCCCCCCTCCCCATCATATATACCAAGTAAGAGGGTCTTAAAGGTGGGTATATATGCATCGTATATACACAACAAAAGGTCCTTAACGGTGAAGATTCCATGAATATCCTAAGCGTCTAAAAGAGGATCTCCCGCCGTAGTGCCGTTTAAACCACGTCTTAAGAGGGTGTAAACTACATGTTTTTCACCTGTACGATTTTACCTGTGTGTGTGTGTGTGTGTTTAACTTAGATAGAAAGGTTTTCAACATACACACACAAAAGCTAGAGGTACAGGTGTGCAGAGGGGGCAGGTGACCACAACTGTTGCCCTGATGATATTTACTGTCTCCTCACCACTTCAGTATGAGTTATGAAACAGAGTCGACAGCTGAGAGTGTAGACCTGTTAACTGAGGAGGAGGAGGAGGAGGAGAGGGAGTTGGTGGGCCTATCAACTGAGGAGGAGGAAGAGGAGGGAAAGGAGGAAGAGGGGGGAAAGGAGGAGGAGGAGGAGGAGGCAGAGTCAACGGTAGGCCTGCTAACTGAGGTGGAGGAGGAGGAGGAGGGAAAGGTGGTGGGCCGGTTAATTGAGGAGGAGGAGGAGCAGAAAGAGGGGGGGAAGAGGAGGGGAATAAAGATCAAAATAACGATAGTCAAGAGAAAGAAAAACAACAACAACAACAACAAATACACAAAAGAAACACAAAAACAAGAGAAGAGTTAGAGTAAGGAAAGGGAGGAGGATCTGAAGAATAGAGAAGAAGAGGAGGAAGAGAGAGAGAATAAGAAGACGGAGGAGGAAGAGGAGATAGTAGAGGTGGTGAAGCAGATGGTTTGTGGAGGAATGGGGGGAAGGAGGGAGGGAGGGAAGGGAGGGTGGGAGGGCAAGAGGCAGTAAAGGAGGAGAAGGAAGAAGAGAAGGGTGGTGGGGAGGAGGGGGGGAAGAGAGAGAGAGAGAGAGAGTCACACCCATGGAATAAATGTTTAAAAGTATTACATTAATTAACCACAACATCCACCACTAACAAACAAACACACAAACACACACACACACACACACTATCATGTTCCATATTAACGCCAGGTAGGACACAGGTAATTAAAACAATCAACACAACAATATATAATGCCATACTAAAGACCAATTATCATTATCATTAATTTAGTATCATTATTATTATTATTTTAGTAGTATCAGTATTATCATCATCACACACTAATTACTTCATACTCACAACACCTTGGCAACATGAGTGTGTAGAGGCACCGTGTGGAGTATACCTTCACATCCTGGTAAGGTAACGAACTACCTGTTGAATATTAACACCGAGACGTACACCACCTGTCTAACCATTCTCTATCAGGTGTGTGTGTGTGTGAGTTGAATATTTCATCGACATTATTTTAATTATATATAAAATTAAAAATAATATATGTTCAAGAATTTGCATATTATTTTTGTTGTTAATGATATTTGAAGGATTTTATGCCTGTTGCTGTTGTAGAAATTATGAGTTAAGGTGGCAAGTAAAATTCAGGTGTAAACTCGTATTATTATTATTATTATTATTATTATTATTATTGGTTGTAGTAGTAGTAGTGTTATTGTTATTGTTGTTATTAATATTATTATTATCATCATCAAACACCAACAATCACATGATCCAGCGATATTGTCATGCTCGTGGAAGGGGTAGAGAAGAAGGGAGGAAGGGACGGAGACAAGAGACAGGACGAGGAGGAGAGGGAGGGAGGAGGAGGAGGAGGAGGAGGAGGACCACCACCTCCACAAATCACAGCCAGGTTGGGTCGCCAGATGGGGGCAGGCGAGTCTTGAGAACATTAGTGGGGGAATTTAAGCAGTCAGGAGTCCTTGGTGTGTGTGTGTGTGTGTCGGGGGGAGATCCTTCAAGGTCTCCACATCATGCAAGAGGAGGAGGAGGAGGAGGGAAAAATGGACGGATGCCATCACACGCTGAGTTAAGTCACAAGATCTGTGTGTTGGGTAAGGTTAGGGGGTGGTTAGGTTAGGTTAAACATTGGAAGACTATGAGAGTGGACAAATGTGAGTTCAACATCCACAAAAAATACATTAAATTCCACAAAAGCACAGGAGTTTGGCTTTGAATTCCACTAAGTGTCAACCGGATTAGCTTCCAATCCTCTAAAATGAACGAGAAATGGATTAAATTCTTCAAAAAATAACAAGAGTTGAGTCGAACCCAATCTACTTTTATTTCAAATCCCAGACATAAACGGATTACTAGATTACACTTTAAAGAAATCCCTTAAAGAAAACTCACATACAACCCACCCATTCACCCACCAACCAACCAACCAACCAACCCACCCACCCACCATCCACCCACCCAATCCCATCTATCCACCCACCTCTACCCACCTAAACCCTAACAACATCCTAACACATCATAACATACAACCCACCCATTCACCCACCAACCAACCCACTCACCCACCCAATCCCATCTACCCACCCACCTCTACCCACCTAAACCCTAACAACATCCTAACACACATCATAACATACAACCCACCCATTCACCCACCAACCCACCAACCAACCCACCCAACCACCCTCTCCCAAGTGCAAAAATTAATGAAACACCTTCAAGAACTCATTAAGAAATCCAAGGTTGTATATGAAACGAGTGCGTAAATTATTTTCTTCATCATTTACGCAAGATTCTTTTGGCGTGGGTCCTGCTGACATGACTCCAATGACGGACGGACTGACAAACGGGCTGACGGACGGACTAACGGACGGACTAACGGACGGGCTAACGGACTGGCTAAAGGACGGACGGACGGACGGGCTGGCTGACGGACTGGCTAAAGGACGGACGGATAGACACCATTACACATTGAGGGGGAAGGGAGGCTTGGAAAGGAAAACGTCCAATACAAATTATCAAAGAGTTAAGAGGAATTTGACGCAAGATCTCCAGAATTTAATACAAAACCCCACACAAACGACAGAACTGAACACAAACCCCAAAAACGACAATATTAAACACAAAAAAGACAGAAGTTAACATAAAAACACCAAAATTTAACACAGACCCCCAAGACACGACCAAATTAATCACAAGAAAACCGACAAAATAAAACCACAAAAACGACCAAATAAACCAAAAAAAAAACGAAAAATTAAACAAAAAAACCCTACAGATTTAAACACAAATCCCCCGAAAAAGGAGAAAATCACACCCCCCAAACGACAGAGATTGGATTGGGCTCGAACTACCTCCTCAAAATGAATAGTACATGCATTTAGGACGGAACTCAACAAGGCTGGACAAACTTGACGCACAACCACACAAATAGGGTTTAATTGTCTCGACTCGGGATAACACGAACGAAACTCTGTTGAAACTCTAAGGGAACGTGTATTATATTTTGGCTACCAGGTGAAAGTATATTTGTATATTTTAATTTGGCTACAGTGAGTGAGTATATTTTTTATGATACTTTGGCTGCTAAGGAAAAGTATAATGTATTATATTTTGGCTACCGGGTTAAAGTATATTTGTATATTTTAATTTGGCTAGAAAGTGAGTGTATTTTTATAATACTTTGGCTTCCAAGGAAACGTATAGAATATTATATTTTGGCTACCAGGTGAAAGTATTTAATATTTTGGTTACCAGGTGAAAGTTTATTATTATAGACTTTCACTGCCAGTTTTAAGTATGTCACTGTATATATTTCGGCGACAGGGTGAAAGTATACAGTATTTTATAGAACTTTCGCTGCCGGATAAAAGTATAAAACAATTTGTCTACCGATCGAAAGTAGTTTCTTTATACTGTATATAACTACAAGATGAAAGTATATTAAAAATTTCCTCTGAGATTGAATACTTTGACTAAAAGTTTATACAGTATTACTTAATCTAGAAAAATTAAAGTATAATCTATATTACTTTCCCTAAAAGATAAAATACACAACTTTGACTATTCATAGAAAGTAAACATTTGCTTCAGAATATAAAATACTTAAAAATTTACTAACACATAAATATAAGTAAGGAATACACTTAAACACTTACTAATACATGAATATAAGTCAAATAAACTCTTATATAATGTATCAATAAAGATAAAAATAACATAAATTAATAAATAGTTCAGATTATGGGTACAAAAAACAGCAA